ATTCAGTAGAATTGGGGGGGGGGAGAAAAAAGAAAAAAAAAAAAGGTTTTTTTTTTTTTTTTTTTTTTTTTTTTTTTTTTTTTTTGGCTAAGCGCCCAGTTCATCATCATTCATGAATTGAAACCAATCAACGCATCGCATATCATCATAATCATCATCAATTTCATTTTTAAAATATTCATCATCAAATTGAATATAATAACTCCTGTTTGTTTGATGATGATGTGTGTGTGCGTAAAAATTGTTTGTGTTTAAACAGAGTTCATTTAACCGATTCTATTTTATTCATTCATTCATTTTTTTTGCTTGCTTGCTATACAAGTTTTTTTTTTGCTTTACTGATATCTATTTATGTTCAGGGAATCTTTCCAAGAAAAAAGAAAGAAAAGAAACGCAAAAAATTCATTTACATCATCATCATAAATTCATTCATTTAATTTTACAACAAAAATTTCTTTTTTCTTTCATTGTTTTTCTGTTTGTTTGTTTATTTATTTTTTTTTTGGCTAAGAATTTTTTTTAATTGATATTTTTTACATTTTACTTTGTTATTGTTACGTAATTGCTGCATCATTTTTTTTTAAAAAAACATGATTAAAAATAATCGATCAATAATGATGTGTCAATTAAAATCTATTTTTTTTTGCCTAAAAACATGGGCGTTTTTTTCCTCCTGGTTGTCATTTATATGTTTGGAAACAGAAAAAAGATAATATTTTTTTTTTTGTCATTATAATTAGTTTTTAGGCCAGTTCGGGAAAGAACAAAATTTTGTTTTGCACAAACAAAATCCAAACCCGTAGGTCATTTTTTTTCCATCATTATCGGACTATTGAAATCTATTAAGATGAAGATAGAGAAAAAAAATGAAACTTTTACCCGATCTTTCATCTCATAATAATAATAATAATGAACACCGGAAAACATTTCAATTCATTTGGGTTATTTTTTCAAAATTTGTTCATTGAAAATAAAAATGAATCCTCGGGTCATCATCATCATCATCATCAATGACCATGATAAGAATTAATTAATCAATTCTTTTCATTTTGTTCATCATGTGTAGCTTAACCATGTTTTTTCCCATCACCATTAATTGTTGCCGAACCGAAATATAATATAAAAGTCAGAGAGTGAAAAGTTTTCAACAACAACAACAACAACAAAAATTTCGTTTATTTTTCACAATGAACGAAATTTTCTTCAACCATAACATTGGATAAAATTATTCTTGACATTTTTGAAACAAATAGAGAAAAAACCAAAAAAAATGCCCGATTCTATTATCATCATTATTATTTCTATAGGGAATTTATTTGTTCAAATGTGAATTTGAATTCTCGAAAAATTGTTTCATGGATGATGATAATGACGAAAATGGTGGCGGTAGTGTTATTGTATTTAATGGACATTTTTCAATTGTCATTATATGGAATGGTTTAAAAAAAAGAAAAGAAAAGAAAAAATCTTAGATGTTTGTGTGTAAATTATCCATAAAATATTTCATTTTTTTTTTATTCTTTCACAAACATTTCAACTGTTTCGAATTTCCACGACGACAACAACAACAACAACAACAATGTGCATCCGTAAACGATTATGTATGTACGTGTGGTGTATTATTTCTTATCAAAGGAATCACTCAAGAATATTCTTCATAGATAAATGTTAGTTTTCATATAGAAAAAAAATAATGGCAAACAAAAATTCTGAAATGTTGTTAGCCCAATGAAATAAACAAAAAAAGTGGAAACAAAATATTGTCACTTGATACTGTGTGTGTGTGTGTGTGCGTGTGTCAAGTCTGTACGCTTCTATTATTCATTAATCGTTTCATAATCACATTATTTGAAATTTTATTTTTCAGAACCAACAAACAAAACAAAACAAAAAAAAATAAGTATGAACAACAACAAAGAACTTTAGCTTTTCTTATTCTTTTTCCATTTCTCTCGCACACACAAACATTCATAATTGATTTTTCTTTCCGTTTTAACAAAATGTTTTCCTTCCATTTTCGATTGTTTTGAATTTTTTTTTTTTGTTTAAGAAAACAAGAAAACTTTTGAATCAAAGTAAATGAAAAATAATAAAAAAAATCTTGTTCATGTTTTTGTTTCACCAAAAACAAAAAACAAAAACAAAACATGTTTTATGTAAATGGCTATTATATAATATTTAAGATTAGCATAGATTAGATTAGATTAGCATACAAAGTGTGAAAACATGAATAATAAAATGATGATGATGATGATGTTTTCACCCACATCATTTGATCCATTGTAAATTTTCACACTATATGTTTTTGGTGTTGTTAATTTTAATATTTAAAACAAAACAACCATAAAACAAAGGTGATGCTATGTTTTTCATAATTTTTGTTTGTTGTTGTTGTTGATGTAAATTAACATTTGATTATAATTATGTAATAGGAATAATAATAATAATAATAAAATGATAATCTTTATGTTATATAAAATTGAAAATAATGTTAGACAACGTCTACAGTAATTAAGATTCAATTTTCATTATTATAATGAGCCAGCCAGAAAAAACAAATGAATGAATGAAAATTCAAGAAGCATTTGCCAAAAAAAAAATTGTTTTCATTTTCATGTTAAACAACAAATGATAAACAAATTTTTGTTGTATACGATTAATGTTTTCATTTTATTTTATTCTAATTTTGACAATGAAATTCAATTTTATTATTCATATCAAGATTTAATCGGATAATCATCAAGAATCAAATGGTTATGTGTGAATTAAAAAAAAGCCTGAAGAAATTTTTATAATAAAAATCTGATGTCTGAATTTTAAATCTGGATTTTTTTTCATTCATTCAAATGGAATATTTTCAATTTAAATTTTTGTTGTTGATGTTGTTGAAAATTCCTTTATTCATTCAAATAATGAATCAATTGATTATTATCTGTGAAATAGTTTCAATTATTCAAACGAAAAAAAAACCAAAAACCAACGACAAATATTAAATTGAATTTTTTATCTTTTACTTTAAGTTTGTTTAATGATTGATAAATTGAT